GGAGAAAAATTTTGGCCTCCCATTTTTTTTTTTTTAAATGCAACTTTAACTAACACAAAATAAAGTTGGAGTTTCTCAATCAACCACTTATGAGCAAATATCCATCTCTAGAATAACGGTCAAAGTATGGGCAAATATCAATCTCAAAAATCTTGTTAAACTGGTTTTATACCACGTGATGGATGTCATAATTTGAAATATTCCAAGAGAAGAATAAACACCTCACTACAAGTAATCTCCACATGATTATATATTACTTCTAGTCTTAATATAAGACCTTATTTAATTTTTATTTTGGTTCTAAATATAAGATCATAATCCATTTTGTTTATCATATTTATTTATTTTTTTTAAAATAGTCTTTCTAATAATAATAGTTCTGGCCAATATACTTGATTAGTAATGATATTTTTGAAAAAACATATATTTATTATAAATAACTAACTTAATTTATTTTTTTAATCTACTCAAATTAATCAACTAATTTTAATTTTTATATTTGGTATCGGAAGTAGTAATTAAACGCAACAAATAAATGTTAGCACAACATCAACAAATATGGCAGCAACTTGAGTCTTGAAATATATAAAACTACAAAACTACCATCTATGTATATTATACGTATAAGAAAGTTGTATATAATGAATGTTATATATTAAATAAAATCATATATACACACACACCTTGCTTGATACTTGACCCTACCCGACATTTGGCTCTATTTGAAAATGCCTAATTTTTTTTGGATATTCTTCCAGTCCTAAATATAAGAATTATTTTGTAATGTAAATTATACTATAAAATAGATCTTAGATTTATAACTGGGATTGGATGAATAATGAGGGCATTAGGCTCTCATAAACAGATAAACACTCATGGGGAGGACTGATGATGTTTAACAATAATATATTAGATAATTGTTATAAACATTATAATTATGCTTGGATCGTTATATCAAAGAATGAGGCTTTTGATCTTCCATCTCATATTGAATGACATCTTGCCATATATAATCTCTAAATATTGTGGGGTTTTTATTTTTTTTACTATTTATTCCCTGTAGACTTTAATTGCACAATTAAGTTGTTTAATTCTCTTCTTTTTACATTTATAACTCTGTAGGTTAATCTTTAATGTTAGTGTCTTGTAAATAATTAAAAAGAGGAGATGCAGATGCTTTTTTTTTTTTGGGTTGGAAAGGAGATGTACACACATTTGGGATAATGAAATGGAATAAGAACCACTTGCTTTTCTCTCCACTCATCTCTCTCATATCTCCAATTAGGGCTGTTCACGGGACGGATCGGATCGGGACAAGCTCGTCCCGGTTCCATCCCGATGAACAGTAACTGGACAAAAAATCTGTCCTGTGTTCCGGTCCATCTCGGGGTTGTCCCGGTCCCGGTCGGGACAGAAAGAATTCGGGACGGGACCGGGATGTCCCGAAGTTTTTTTAAAATTTTTTTTATTTTTTTTTAATTTTTAAAAAAAATCTGATTTTTTTAATTATATTTTGTTGGGCTTAAACCTTATAAAAACATCTTTTTATTTTCTTTTTTATTTGTTTGGACACTCTTAAACAAAAGCTCAAAATATTACATATAATAGTCATTAAAAACTCTAAACAAAAGCTTTTAACACAATAAAAACTTACTAAAAATTCTAATCATCAATAATCTCAAATCATTAACAAATATAAAAACTCTAAATAAATATATCTATTGTTCCATACAATAGTCTCAAATTTTAAAAAAATATGAGAAAAATGATATTATATAAATAAGATAAAAAATTAAAAAATTAAAAAAAAATCGAGACAGGTCGTCCCATCCCTGTTTCTTTTTTGTCCTGTCTCGGTTTGTCTCTTCCCGTCCCAATAAGACCGGGACCAGAACGGGCCGACAGGGACAGGCTGGCTTTGAACACCCCTATCCCCAATCACTCTTGTGTTTTTCTTATTTTCATAACAATAATTATATTTACCATTATAGCATAATAATGATAATAGTGATGATGATGAAGATAATAATAATGATTAAGGTATAAATTTGTTTTGAAAATTTTCAATACTGGGCATTTAAAAGTTTTTTTGACTATAAAATTCTAGGAATATCGTCTCACACTGTTAAAACATTAATATTGATCATTAATGTTTTTAATATAAAAAACTCGTTGATGTTTGCTAAAACATATAAATTGCCTTTAAGCTGTAAATTACCAAAAAGAAAATCTATAAGTGGGTTTCTAAAATTTGAAAATGAGCTTTCAGATTTTTTTATCTGAACTAAACCTTCTCAATTCACGTGTTAACATAAAGATAACCCCCCCCCAAAAAAAAAAAGAAAAAAATTCATTCATTCATTCATTCATTTTAAATCTCTGTATTAAAATCAAACAGGCGCATCTTCCTTCCCCAGCCACCACCGTCTCCGTCTTTATCCTTCCCAAACTCCATGCATTTCCAGCGGTGAAGATCTCAACGCCACTTTCTCCAGATTCATAGACTTTTGTCTCTTGCAATGGCGGAAACCATTCTTAGTCCCGCGTATCCCTCCCGTCACCGTCCTCCCTTCTTCTTCTTCTTCTCAGCCTCTTTCCTCGTCTGGATTTCTGATCTCCCATCTCAAATCCCGTTTGAACGAGCGAACAAAAATTAGTTCCAATTGGGATCACACTTGTTGATATCCCATCTAAGTTATACCAAAAGAAAAAAAAACTCGGGGTTAGCTGGACTACAAGTCTATAACTCATACCGGTTGATTCCGGTTCAATCTTTCCCGGTTCAGATAATAATTCAGACCGGACAAGTGGCCGGTTTAATTTCGGATCCAGTCCGGTTTTTGAACAGTCACGGATGAAAAGGAGCAGCATCCGGCTGCTCAATGATAGTATTTTATAATTACCTTGTAGCAGAAAAAGACAAAGTTTTGCCTCCAAACGTACTTGTCCTCTTCCCCTCCTTGCTTCGTCACCGTTGCGTTTGCACTTGGAGGTGGAGCGGTACTTCGGCGCCCATTTCCGTCCGTTTCTCTATCACCTTCTCATTCTCACACTGCTGTTCTTCGAGGTCGGATTCGGCGCCTCAGCTGGTTCTACGTTCACCTTGTAAGGCAATTTGTTGTCCTTCTAATCAAATGTAAGTCTGGATTTTGGCTGTCTGCGCAACTCAGGAATGCATAACGTCTCTGCCTCCCACACCAGTGAACTGTCTCGAATACCATATAAGCATACTATTTATCTTAATCGAATAGCAAAATGAATGCCAACGTTTGCACAAAGAACAACATAGTGCTCGTATTATCAAGTTTCTTTTTATCACAATTGTTGAACAAGTCGTCCTGTTACGTATAACGCATGGCAACCGGCATCTTGGTTGTGGACCTGGTTATTTTGGCTTCTAGTTATGCAAAAACTGTAGCATGTGCGTATATTTGATGCTGAAGGTCCTTATGTTGTGGAGAGGAACTAAAACTCCGAAATTTTGGTATGATATAAACTAGCTTATCAGAGCCAACGGATTAAAATTCTCCATGCAAAACCTGATAGTCTGAAGAAAATTGATCAAGTTTTCCTTTTTCACTGGGTGAAGGGAAATTTTTTGTAGGAAATTAGTGAACCTGATTTTTAGTTAGGTGGGAGAAATACCCCTATTTTCCCCCGAGTTAGCCCAGGCCATCTATGTTATAAGACAACGAAGTTTCCAAATGTTCATACCTGAAGGTATTTAGCTATCACATTAACAGTTTTAATTAAATTTGTTGAAACGCTTACTTTGATAGGCTTCTGTGATGAAATTTCATCATTCTGTATCCTTTTGAGTGTGGAATGAGTAATTCAAGATGATGTTGTAATTGCAGTAGTTAATTCTTATGTATCATGGATTATTTGTTCCTTTTCATGTGGGGTTCTACTTCTGGCCAAACCTTATTTAGCTACACCATTTTTTTACTTTCTGCAATGTGAGGATTGATATATAGTAAAAAGTTGTCTATCGGCATTTATGTGTCTTATAATAGTGTATTTGATTAACCAGCCTCAACCCATGCACTTCCATGGATATATAGAATTTCTTGAAACCCATACAAGAGTTCGCAAAACAAATGAATTCTTTAAAATAAAAAGAAATAAATCAACATCACATTGATAGATAGTAAAATAAGCTTGCCCCTTATTCTACTTCTGTATAATATGTATTGATACTGATGATTGAATTTTAATTTGAACCAGTATTTTTTGATTGTAAGTAATATATTATGTTGTAGTTATGCTTTGGTTTTCCTACACTGGGGCATAATATCCATTCCTAGTTTTAACCTGATATTTGTTGTCTCAAATTTTTACATGGCTGCAGTTGTTGCGTATCATTTACTTGTTCTCAAGTAATATGGTTGATTCTTCTTATCACAGTTGATGCTAGTGCTCACTTGATGCTGAATTTAGTGCATAGCTATACTATGTTCTGTAGAATTTATTTGGCTTCAGTAGACTTTTTATTTTTTTGACCCTTTATAATTTCCATTTTGAAAAGTTCTTTGATGATTAGCTCCTAGGATTTCGTGGAAAGTTTCAAGGAAACATTTGGTTTTGGTGTGCAAATAGAATTCTCCCTGTGCAAGTTACGGGTATCAATATTGTGCAGACTTTACTATTTCATAAATTTTTATTTATTAGAATGAAAGGGGTTAGAAGAAATTGGAGGAAAAAAATTCACAAAATAGTTTTTTTTTCCCCCCTTCGAAGAAATTGTTCAAGTGGAATTGCAATCACTAAAAGAATTTCTTTTAACAAAATGCAACATGGTTAAAACACAAGGCAATTTAAAAGATAGCTCAAAAGAGAATAAAATATTGAAAAAGCCACCTTCAAGAGCATTGAGTGCGCCATCAGAAATGAGGACATGACATGCCTTTTTTTCACTTATTCTGAAATGACTCAATAGGTACACAACTGTATTTAACATTTACTTATAGTTACTTATTCTCTTGGAAATGAGCAGGCGTGCTTTGGGCCATTGAGGCCTTTGCCTTGGGGTGCTTTGCTAGAGATTGTACATTGTGGTCAACAAGATATGTCCTTATCACGGGTAAGGTATTGTTCTATTTATCTTAGATTTTACGTGGGTTGGATGTTTGACAAGTTAAATTTGATATTTGTTCTTTGATGAAAGATTCAAGTCAATGTCTTGTATCCTCAAAGGACTATTTGTGTGATTATATGGCATGAAAATGGACAGTTGAATGATCTATAAAGTTTAAGTTTGTTAACATCCACTAGCATATTCTGACATTATTCAGTTACAAGGGCTCTCATATAAATATCCTCGAAGTTTCACTTGATATATCATTAGATTTGCTTCTGTCATGGCAAGAGTGATGTCGATTCTTGTTACCTGGATTATTGGTAACGATTATTACAAGGGTGAATTGAATTTCTGAAAGATGGATAGCAACGGCAATCCATTATCAATTCAGTTAATTTTACTTATTTAATGTTTATAACTTTGGCCATCATTTTAACCAGTTGTTGCATAAAAAATTGTGCTTAGAAGGAAATGAAACAACTAATCAGTTTGCATGAACTAAAAGTACCTGGAGATGTGAAAATTCAGAATTGGCAAAATAATTTTTTATTTCTATCACTAAATGCATTTGTTGTTACTTTCATGATGTGCTCTGAACTTTCCCATTCCTTTAACTCATTTGTTATTATGGAAGGCTTGGGTTTGTTCTTTGAATCTGATGCAAGCTTTTAACTAGAATGCTATAGATTAGGAATTGAGAGGAAGAAACATACTAAATGGAACTCCTCTCAAAGTTGTTCCTTTATTTCCCTGTGGATAATCCTGGTCTCTATGAAAGCTGAATTTATATGATTCTTATAGACATGCATATCACAAAAAATGCGACTAGTTCTTTGTTTTAATTTTCCCTTTTGCAGGCTCCATTTCTTTATTCACGAAAGGAAATTATTTATTTTCCTGTTGCTGGTCTTATTGAGATCAATTCCTTTCTGAAGTCTATCATCTTGTGAATCTTTAACTGACTAAAAGGGCTCTGATATGCAGATATTATACTGATCCGTCAGGAACATATTGGTAATGCCATGCTAAAGATATTGGTTGAGGCTCAGAAGGAGCGGACAGTTCTCTGCAAGAACAATACAAGGTATACATGTTTATACATATATTATTACTATGTAACACTGAAATGTGACTGGGAGAGATGACGGAAAGCGCAAAGAGGAGTAGAAAATAATGGTAATAAATAAACGTGGGGATGTAATGCTTATTCTTTCTGGGTTGATTGAAATTGGAGGGATTGGCAGTTTTGTCTGGTATGATTGAACGTACAGGTAAAACCATATATGTTTTTGTTTGGCATCACAAAAGAATAGATTCTGACGCATCTTTACCTTTATTTCATCTCATTCTTTAGAGATGAAGCACATTCCTTTTTAGTGTAGAAAAGAAATGATACTAAATTGGTCAATTATTATCCTTTCGGCTATACTTATACAAGTATATAGCCCTTTATATTACTTAATATTATGGACCATGAATCATGCGACTTTCATTTATCTTTGCTTCCATAAACCTACTAGCTAAGTTGTGGTTTATGCTATGTTAAAATCAGATTTGTTTTGAGATCAAAATGAAGTATCCATTCCTCCTTGTCTATCGCTCTGCATCTGCTGATATGGTGGGTTTTTTTCCCCGAAGCATCCATAAGGCATGAAATCTGGGTGTCTCTTGTAGGATGTTGTAAAACCAATGTACTACAAAACCTTATTATTTTGGACAAAATCTGGGGTAAATTAATTTTACGTCCCCAAATTAAGGCTTAGTTAAAACTTTGTATAATCTTTAAAAGGAATCAAACTATTTAAAACACTGTAAAATCTTTAAAAGGAATTTTAGACTGGAAAATAATCTTTTATTTTACCCCTTTCACCTCAATTGTTACCTCAGATTTGGTTCGACAGATTTAACTCCCCTCCCTTAATTCGACTTAGAAAAGTTTGAAGGGGCTCTCCAAATGGTGATACCGCTTTCCGGTTGACTTCTACTATATTGCATGGCTGCTGAGGTTCTTGTTTGATATCAATATCCTATCAAATGAAATTGCATCTTTATACTATGATTTCAAAAACTGTTTTCTTCTTCTTCTTTTTTTTCTTGTTTATTTTGGGCTCCTTATTTTCCTTCATCTCCTTGTTGTTTGTTTCCTTTTGTGTGACCATTTTATTGCACTGTAAGCTCTGGGATTTGTTAAGTGATATTATCTTTTTCAAGGCAATGGTAAGGTTTGTGATTTAGCTCATGGCTGTGCACGATGGGTTTGTGGTGTTATTAACCAAAAACAAGTTGAGACTTGAAAAACCAGAGTAATTTCATGGGATGATCATTTGAGTGATATAGGGGGATCAAAGTAATTTCATGTTCTGATTATCAGTTGGATGATATTTTGTCCCCTTGAATCAGTGTTAATTCTTGTGCCCTTTTTCATATCGTGGGATAGAGAGCTATTTGCAACCTTAGGTTGTTTTCATTTAGATGTATTCCATTGACTTTTGTTTGGCCCTTAATCATTGTAAGATACACAAGAGCTTTGTTATGTTCCTAGTGCTTCTAAATTTGTTCTTTTCAGGACGATGATTGAAGTACCTGAGCATGCCTTTTCTCCTCAAGTAATGTATTTCTTGTATGTGGTAGTCCTATTTAAAGGTCTCTCAAATGCATTTGATTAGCCACAAACTATTAACTAGTTGCTCGGAGAGTAATTGAGCTCAGGCGGTTAGAAAATGGTGATTGCTGTTGGTCATCTTGCGTAATGAGAAAATAAAAAGAATAAAAAAAAATTTGGATATAAACATCGGGGTGAATTGAATTTCTGGAAGTTGCTATTGCAATCCATTATTAATTTTCAGTTAACCTTCGGGCATCATTTTAACCATTGGTTTTGAGATGTGAAATTTAAGAATTGCTGAAATAACTTGTAATTTGTATCATTAAATGCATTACTTATTTTTTTTATGATGTGTTGCATCCCATTTCTTCAAACCCATATCGGTGTTTTCATTTGGTTGATACCAGTTATACTAGTTATTTCCTAGTTTGCTTTTTGAATGGTTGGGGAGGGCTGAGGGGTTAGGGTTAGGGATGAACAGAGCCGTCTGCAAACCTAGTGTACCTTCCCGAGAGAGAGAAAAACAGGCAGGTTTGGAAAATATGTGGGATGGGCAACAAGCACACTTATGGCCTAGTTCGCACCTACCCATATATTTGTAAAACCTATCAGAATACAATACAGAGACAGAACTAAGAAGCTCTACCCCTATCAGAACTTCACTATGTTTCACATTTACCTCATCAAGGTGAGTGCAACGTGAAACCAATGTTCAACCATAATTAGAGGTTATAGTCCTTTATATGTGATCATCTTTAATGAGTTTGATCACTAGCACTAACTATGGCAATCATAAGAGATTTGGCATTATAAAATACTACACAAATTGTAAAATATGATGGACAGTTCATTCTTAAGTCCTTTATGCATCTTTAAATATCATTCTCTATAAACCTTTTAACCCTTGTAATGGAGATATTTTATTGGGGAAAAAAAATCTTTTATGGAACTGACCTGATCTTTTTTGCCAGAATTGAGCAGATATAAATACGAGTTTTGAAAAGAATACAATCTTGATCCCTCTGAATATAAAATTTGCAAACTACAGCGTCATTGTTCAGAAAAGGAAAGAAGCAATTGTAAACTCACCTTCAACACTGCACCGTTTCCAATGGCAGCAAAACAACCACTGATAATATCTGACAGGAATCAGATGAGGAAATGGTCGAGGATGATGAGATCCCAAGGCAAAACAGTGGGCTTTGTGCCCACCATGGGCTTCCTTCATGAAGGCCACCTTTCTCTCGTTAGGGAAGCTCACCGTCACACTGATGTAGTCGTTGTCTCAATCTATGTAAACCCAGGTCAATTTTCCCCAACTGAAGACCTATCTGTTTATCCATCCGATTTTGACGGTGATGTCCGAAAGCTGATGGCTGTGCCTGGCAGTGTTGATGTTGTATTCCACCCCCACAATCTCTATGACTATGAGGGAACTAACAAGAAGAAATCTACAAGTATGATTAATAATGTAGTAGTGTTGTCTTGCATTGAGCAAAAGGGTATGGGGCATGAGACTTGGGTCAGAGTTGAGAATTTGGAAAAGGGTCTTTGTGGAAAGAGCAGGCCTATTTTCTTCAGAGGAGTTGCTACGGTGGTGACCAAGTTGTTTAATATAGTGGACCCTGATGTTGCTGTGTTTGGAAAAAAAGATTATCAGCAGTGGCGAATAATTCAGAGAATGGTAAGAATGTTGAGAAACATCCGCGCCTTGTTTACTTCATTGGAAAGTGGAAGAAAAGAAAAGATGACTTCTAGCTGTTATAATGCGCTTACCCTGTGGCCTTATTTATTCTGTTTACCAACTATGTTTTGAATCCGGAATCTAATTGTTGATGTCAGTTTATTATTTTGTTTGGAATTAAACCGTGAAATGAACTATTTAAGTATGAATCTTTCATTCAAAATTTCTACGTGGCACCGTAAGTTCTGAGCATGCTAATGCTGGGGTTGCATCCCTACATGTGGAGCCTATGTGGTCTTATGCTAGCATTCAATCTCTGTCCTCATGGGGCACTCGATAGTACTCTTTCTTTCTTTCAATTCCATAGCTCCCCTTCTATTCAAACGAGTAACAAAAGAGATTTTTATAGTCTCCTTGCTTATGCATGTGAAATGTTATCTGGTTTGAGTTACTTCATTGTTTATTTGGAAATATGGAGCCATAAACTTGATAAGGAAGCAAAGCACTAGGATCATGATTTGTAAGAGTGAAATTATTACATTGTTAGGCTATTATCTCTGATTGTAACAGTGGTCGTTATGCTCAACTTATTTTCGTACTCTGTTGGTTATGATATTGGTTGTTAAATCTTTTTGTGCTGTTTTTCTTGCTGGTAATGGATAGACTGGATGACTTCCTGTAGGTTAGGGATCTTGACTTTCCCATAGAAGTGGTAGGTTCTGCAATAATACGTGACAGTGATGGCCTGGCAATGAGTTCTCGCAATGTGCGTCTTTCACCTAAAGAGAGGGAGCAGGTATCTTTCATTAAATCTTATTGTGTAATTTCTTGAAATAACCTGATATTGCATATTAAGCTTCTACCACAAGGTAAAAATGATCAAGAGCTAATGACTCATTTTTCTATACTATTTACTCCATATTTTGGAGTCAGCTGCAGTATTTTCTTGTCCGTCTATCTTCAATCCACACTTAAAATTATACTCTCCTGTCCTTCAATCATTTCCAGGCACTATCTATAAACAAATCATTGCTGGGAGCTAAATCTGCAGCAGCAAATGGCCAAATAGATTGTAATAAGCTGAAAAACTTCGTCATCCAAGCCATAACTGAAGCTGGTGGGAGGATTGACTATGCCGAGGTAAGATGTTAAAATCTATTTAATCTTTCTCTATTTAATGCTAGAAATTATAAATACACTGACTAATTTAAGCATTTATGTATGTTCCTTTACATATAATTATATGACAGGCTGGTAATTAATCTAGACTGTACCCTAGACCATTTTCTGCCACTAACCCATGGTCTAACCATAATGTAACAAGAAGTGCAAGGATTTGGATTATTCAAAATGCCAGTGGCTTGTCACATTTTCACTTTTTTGGTTGGACCACAAATATAATCTTGTGCCAAAGTAGCATTGACCGGCTAGGAATGCTAAATTGACATTGCCGGTGATGGAAGCATTCCATAGACATTGGTGTATACACATATCAGCATATCAAATGAACCATGAGCAATTTATAATTTGACCTGGGATCATTGAAATCTTTTCATCTCAATGCGAATTTATATGTTTCTGCATGCAGATTGTAGATCAAGAGAGTTTAGAGGTTGTGGAATCCATTGAGGCTCCTGTTGTCTTTTGTGTTGCTGCATGGTTTGGGAAAGTCAGGCTTATAGACAATACAGAAATCAACTTGTAATTTGCTTGTTTAAATCACAACCTCTTCGTCTTGTAATCATTCCTTGGATTTTTGGGATTAGGACATGCAGATGAACATTTTTTAAGTAGTCACTAATAACGTCATGAACTCATGTTGAGTTGTAGAAAAGATTCACATGACCCCTAGGGAATTCTTTTTTTAAACCTCAACCACAGGATGTGCAAGAACTCATCACAGCTCAACACCTAAGGAATTCTGCTTAGTCTTTCTTCTAGTTTATACAGTTCATGTAGACTGACCTTGAGGAAAGATGTAAGAATTTCTTTTCCTCTAGGGAAAAATAAAGATTTCAATTGAGAAAAATGTTGAGAATTCTTTATTGGCGAGTTTAATAGAATAATGTTGGTGGTGATGGTGATGGTGGTCTGATTGTCAAAAGTTGGGACGTGGCCAACACCCTTGTGGTGTAGTGGCATGTAGGGTGATGCTCTATGTTGGCACCAATTGCAGGTTGCCAACTCAAAAATTGGAAGGAAAAAAAAAGGTGGGACGTGGAATATACCATCTTGAGTTTAATTGTTTAAATCCTTGTTGATACATTGCTTCATATATTTAAGTGAAAAAACTCAGTAGCAAATATATTAAACTTTAGTGCGGAGGCGAAACTAAAATTGGTCAATGTTGTGGGATGGGAAACATTGATATATCGATTTTTTGGTTTATAAAAAGTTAAGGACCTTGAGATGTTGACTGGTTTTAACTCCCAATCATATTCCATTATCTCATGGACTTGCATTGATAGAAGGCTGTAGTTCCTCGAGCTGCCTTTGGTGAGTAACATATCAATAAGATACCAACAGGGGTTGGTCCAAGTGGTAAGCGGCTTGGTACCGCTTAAGTGAGGTTTCGAGTTTGAGCCTCAGCGTATGCAGAAATCTCTGTTGGGAGACTCACCCACCACAGCCAGGTACGCGACGCGGGTTGGATCCAGATGTAGTCGGAGCAAAGCTCCGGTGAACTGGGTGGGCAACCAAAAAAAAAAAATATCAGTAAGGATTTCTGAATCTGATTCGATAATGACTTTCTTGAATCCGAAATCCCATGCCAATTTAATTCCCTTGAATATAGTCCATTCCTTTGTTAAATTGAAAATCATATCCATCCGGTCATGTAGTCCAGCAGAAAAAAATTGTAAGGTATACCTGGGATTTAAAATTGCCATCTATAGTGATTCAGCATAAAAGCAATCTCTCAAGACGTGGAGCACATTGATAGAATTGTCTTTACTAACCAGACCTATAAAAGTAAAATTAGCAAGATACGTGAAAGAGGAAAATCACTTTCTACTGTCCAGGCCACTGACCTCAAGTTTCCTACTGTTTTAGAGAAATATACTGAGTATATTGAGTTACCTTAGGGTGGCTATAGGCCTTACCTAGGAAAGGGGTGTATTTGGGAACGTGTTACTCACTTTTGGGCCTTATATTAGCCGTGGATGTATTTGGGGAAAGGGAGGACTTATTTTGTGATCTGAGAATAGTGAGGAGAGCTCTAGCCTCTCCAATGCCAGTGTCGGTTGGAGGAAGATAGTCTTTCTCCATCATTTGCCTTTCTCTTTAGTGTGTTTTTCTTAGTGTTGTAATTCTTGTGTTTTTCTTAGTGTTGTAATTCTTTCTCTTCTTGGAGGAAGATTATTGTGAGTTAATCAAATTTCAGTGTTGTTTCTCCATTATTTCTATTTGGGCTCTATCACACAGTCTCAGAAGCTACAAATTGAAGAAATGCTGGGCCATTTACTTCTGCACTCATTGGTGGGAAGTTTGTAGTTATAAGCTAACCGTAAGAAGACTCATTTTTTTCTGCTCCTTTCCATTTCCAAGTCATTTTTATAAGTTTTGCTGTAGAGATTTGGAGGCGGTTTTTTCCATTTGGAAATAGTCACTTTTGACCGTAAAGCAACCATGTGGCGTGGAACTCCAAGTCATCACATCTTCACCAGCGTGAGGCGTCAGCTGCAAAAGCAGAAATTAGTCTCTGGACAACTTCGTTTGCGAAAGCATTTGCAAGCCATGAGAAGTTCCAAGTTCCATGTAGCACGTAGTCCTTGAATATGCTAATTTAGTGCCTTCATTAATAATCTCACTTTTTTTTTTAAGAAAAAAAAAAAAGACCTCTGAGAAGAGGTATCTCGATCGCAAAGTCTCCATCCGAATTAATCGATTGTTTAAATACTCGATAATAAGATCTAGAAACAACGTTGAATACTAAATGGCCGGAAGGTTGTGAAAAAATATAAAATATATAAATACACATGCATGCTTTGGATTAGTGTATATACATACGTAAGCCAGTGTATATGATTGATGTGTGAAGGTTCCATGTGGAAATAATGATGAAGGAATGGAATCGATGATAAGATATATGTTGGCAAGAAGCTAACGATTGCAAAGGAACATGTTTGGTGGCAGAGTGATGAGACAGCCAACTCCTCAATTAAGATGGAAGACATGCTAATTGAGGCAACTACCGTAGATGAAGTGCCCTGCAGGCCGTTAAGGAGTGAGCTACTTTCATCAGAGTCAATCTAGATCTACGGCAATTAAGTCATTAAATTTATTTAAAAATAAAATAATTTTGAATTTACTTATATTCAAAATTATGAATCATGTCTGGGAAGCGATTAAAGAGAATTGCATCAAACTTTATATGGGAATAATTTTGAAAAAAATTGCAATTATTAGAAAATGGTACTCCTCTGGTTCTATTTATAGAGTAGAGAAAAAAACATTTTTTAGTCCTATTTATAGGATATTGAGAAAAATTTTTTATACGGATATATAATTTTACTATTCATTTATTATTGTGTTAATTTGGTTTACATGTGGTATAATACATATTGAATATGGATAAAGTTGAAAAGCTATTGAATTTTAAATGAAAGTTAATCAAGTTTAAAATTTTTCTTGGTCTATGTGAAACATGTTAAAAATGACTTATAAATAGGACTAAAAAAGTATCTTATAGTAACACGTTAGCCAATAGTCAATCAAACACAAGAAAAAGCCAATGGCAATGTAATGAATGAGAGGCAACATATTTGGTTCCCAAACAAACAGCGTGTCAATACTCGGCATTAAATTATACCCCTCTTATCCTATTTATAAAGTATTAAAGAAAAAAAATATTTTTTTATAATATTTATAAATCATATCATGAAATTTTTTATATAAATGTACAAATTTACCTTTTATTGATTATTATGTAGTGTAAGTCATTTTAATCAATTCATTAGAACCAAGAAAGTGTAATTAATTTATTAAAATTGTTTCAAATTAAATTTTTCCTAACTTTATTCATTAAATAGTAATTAATGCTTTTTCTAATTTTGTTCTTACAGTTAATCTTTAAATATAACTTCTTGTTTTTTTCTCCTTCACAACCTCATTTAATATATGTAAATTGAAAAAAAAATTTTAATTTGCAATAGATTTAGTGAGTCAATATCATTTTTTTTATTTTGATGAATTAATTAGAGTGATTTATATTGTGAATGGGAAGAAATATATTGTTGTATCCAAGGTTGTCAAACTTACAAGTCTAAATAAACCTGTGAGAGGGATGTAAACTCAAATTATAAACTCATAAGAGTTTACTTTTATTAATGAATTAGTATTAAAAGTATATAAATAAATAATTAAAATAAAAAAATAACAACAATTTCATTTAAATATATTTAAATCCCAATCATTGAAATTCAGTCCATCAACTTTCATAATTTACTGTATTCAACAAAGAAATTTTTATCAAATTTATACATAAAGTCACTAAATATATATAAATTTAAAATTTTAGCACCAGTTGACTTGTGAGCTAAAAATAGAAAAATGGTAAACTTAGTTAGTGAACTCATAAGTTCAAGTGAGCTTATAAGTAACACGAATTTAAGAATGAGTCAATACGATTTTATAAGCTAAAAACGTAAAAATATTAAATTTGTAGAGTCAACTTATGAGCTTGACAATAATAATTATATTCCTAGTGAGATCGCTCCCCAATCCATGGACAGCTTCAATTTATGATCCTCTCATTCAACCTTGACTTTGAGGTTTTGGTCTTCTCACTGGTCTGATGTGTTTTGGTTGGATGAAGATAAACTATGAAGGAAAGAAAAAGAAGACGAGAGAAAATAAAAAAGATAATATAATCACTAACAAGTCATTATCTTTGAATGAACAAAAGGGAAAATACATAAAAATGAAAATGTACAAATGTTATGATGACAATAATACCCTGATATTAGGATATATTATATCTTATGTCATTATTATTACATTAGATTGAAAGATAAAAATCATATTATAATTAATACCATCAGAATATTTTTAAATCAAATTAATGATTATTTGGGAAAAATATCTTTACTCATTTTTCTATTTTAAAATAAACTAAAATTAAAATGAATAATTTTCTCCTATTTTTCTTTCTTCCCATTTTTCCCTCCCATCCAATATATATATACTCCTCCGGTCCTAATTATAAGACCCAATTGACTTATTTGAGGAGATTAAGGAAGTAAGTTAAGTTGGTTATTTATAATAAATAAGTGTTGTCATTCCTAAAATATCCTTGCTAATTAAGTATATTGGCTAAAACTATCATTATTAGAAGGATTATCTTAGAAAAAATGCATAAATATAAGAGACAAAATGGATTGGGGTCTTATAATTAGGACCAAATAAAAAGTCAAATGGGGTCTTATAATAAGGACCGGAGGAGTATATGGATAATTGTGTATTCATTGACGGAGGACAAGAGTCAAGCGTTGCTTTATTGGCCAACTAGCTAGCGTAAACTCCCCCTTATGAACTCTGAGTTTTCTCGATTTATTTGAGACTTAAAATTAATTTTTGCCAGATTAAAAGCGTTAAGGTTAACACCATCTTTATAAGTGTGATTCTCAATATTTAGACTTGTGTATTTTTTTTTTTTACAGGATGAGACCGTTTACCATCTCAACAAATAACTTGTTGGCAGTTTAAAATCCATTTTATTTATTATTTCCACACAACAGTCTCATATTAGATATCACTATTAATTTATATTTGAGCATATCATTGATCGAGTTTAAATAAAAATAACTCATCTAAAATTATTATGAACACTCCTTTATAGAATTATAGTAAAAGAAAAATTGAACAATATGATTGAGGGCTGAGATGGGAAAACAACAAAAGATATAGCTGGCTCAATGTATGATTGGTTATCCAAACAGGCCGCTGCAAAACGCAATAACTCCGTCACATTCATTGATTCTTCATCTTATCTTTTGTCGTTGTTCTCCCTTGTCTGGCGGAACATAGGCCCCCAACACGCGTACAA